ACCATTGCTGGGTCTAGTTGAGCTGCACAAAAAAAAGAAAGCAAGCAGGGGGTGGCTGTGCCCTGCCTGAATGAACTGCCACACAAATTGCCCTCGCTGTGCCCCATCCCTGTTTGATGCTCCTGTTCGCAGCACTCCGGATCGCGTGCACTCCCTGGGGCCATTTAAATCTCCCGCCTACGAGCACAGCCCCGTCCCTGGTCAGCTGTGTAAGCCTCCCTCAGGCAGCCGATTTCAGCTCCAAATGGCTTTTCTTTCCTATGGCTTGTTATTATTTTTGTGTTTAGATATAGAGTCCTGAAGCAATGATTTTCCTTAGCTTTGTCCCACCCCCCTAGATACTCCTGCATCACTTTCCAGCTCAGACTGACTCTGGCTGTAATCTAACTGTATTTAAGTGCCTGTGTCTGACCCAGTGAAACCTGCCAACCAACAGCACTCTTCCCTTCTTAAAGTCCCCAGCACACCTGTGAAGCCACTGCTGGGTCAGGACACCTGCCTCTATGATCTTCCAGCTGACTCATTGAAACCAGCATGTCTCCAACCTCACTGGAAAACAATTTAAAAAAGCAGGCAAAGGCCTTTGCGTCTTCAACAGATCAGAATCTCTGGGGGAAGGGATTCCTTTGGCTTCCCTGCTCCCCCAGTACATCGTCTATGAGCAAAAATTTGCTCATTCCCTGGGCATTCTTGAGCTTACTGGTTAAATGTTGCCACCAACCAGCACAGTTCCCCTTTTCACATTCCCATGCAAAATAACTGTCATCATGGTCAAGATGGTAGAATAAATTTTTGCCATAGGCTACAATATATCATACCATCATGAAGGGTTTTGTCTATGTCCATGGTATGTTTCCTCTGTGTGCCAGCTACAATGATGTAGCTTGACAAAATGCATTTTTCATTAGGTCACAGAAAACCCTTGGCAATATCAGCATCTTTCAGTCATGGTTAAAGACAGTGGTTTATTATGACCTCTCCTTGAAGGGCAAAGATATAAAGCAGACTATCCACCAGGACTGAGGCTCTGAGGCTGTCACTCCCACAGTGTCAGTGGCTAAAACCCTCTCATTTTCATTAACAGCATTTGCAATCCACATCAGAGACAACCCATGAAGGAGGGAAGGACCATGACTTGCAATCTGTCTCTGAGACAATCCTTTTCATCCACAACACTCACAGCAATTATTTGATATGCTCTTTGCAGAGATAGCAACAAAGTTTTGTTTTCCGTTAACAAGGAACACATTGTGAACCTGGATCATATTACTGAAATGCCTGAATATGTGGAGCAGAATTTTCATTTTGCAAACAAGCCTTTATTGTCTGTTACTGTATATACAAAATATTTGCATGTAAATACCATTTCTTCAGACTGGAGGTGGCATGAGTTTACAGCTAAAAACTGTGTTTATTTTTTTCACAACAGGGTTTTCAGGAAAAAATGGAGGCAATTCCCAGGGTTATGTGCAGAACACATAGCACCATTTTTCTGACTGCAACTAGTGAAACTACCATAGAACAAAACAATTCTCAACAGAAGTGCATAGTCATTCAAAACCAAAAAAGTTACAAACGTTACTCTTTATCTTTAGGCTTGCAACTTTAGGCTACAGTTGCACAAAATCACAAGGTTTGGTTTTACATCATAAATTACAAAAATGTTGACAAAAGTAATTGTGAGCAAATTTGTTAAGATAATGTCATTGCTTTTTGCCAAAATTAAAATCTTCAGAGTGTGAGTTTGCAACAAGCCAAATGTGTTATTTGGCTGTAAATGAAACCTATTATTTTCAGGTGGGGTTCCCTGGTCTGACGAGGTAGGCAGTCTATTAAAAAGAAGTTATGTTTCAAAACAACAATGTTTTGTAAAATATTAACATGAAATGTTTCAACTCACTCAAGAATTTTCCCTGATTTATTTTAGCCCCAGATTATAACATTTAGTTGATAGATTGTTTGGTTTTTTGACTGAATAGATGCTTTGTTCAAAATTTTCTCAGTTGTCATCAGGACACAAAACTTGTTAGTAAGCTGGAATGCAAAGTTTGTTATGGTTTCATAATTTTTGCAGGTCACCCTCAGCACAGTTCAGAACAGTTCGAAAAAACACACTTTCCATGACAGGGAAAATGAAGAAAAAAAATTTAAAAATGCAAACCCACAACAAATGTTATTGGTGGTTTGGTGCTAGATCCCATGGAGGGTCTGTTCAGATTGTTTTAAGATGGTCTTAGTTGTTGCAGACACACTCCTGCACAGTTTGTACAGACAGAACTAAACATCTAAGCATTTTTGTTGATAGGCATATGTCCAAAGATGTTTACATTAAGACAACAAAGTTTTCATTGTCTATTGGAAGTAAAATATTTTCAAGCACTTTTTAATTTAAGAAAGGTATTTCAATATGAGAAGTAACTCAACTAGGAAAAAACAACTCCAGGGTGGGTTTTTTTTGAAAGCTTCTAAATAAAGTGTTGGAGGTTTATATACGGTCTCAGTACAAAACAATTAAAACTGACATAAATTCACAGGAAATTTTGATGTGCCCAAATTATACCCTTTGCTTCAAAGAAAAGTCTTACGCCACTTCCTCCTAAGTTACTCCTTCCCATCATGTATGCTTCATTCATAACCCAAGAGAGCCCAGGATGTGGATGCAATTCATGGTGATGGCTGTATGCATACACTTGTTCTTACATTTCTAACCTCTGTGGTTGCTCTTCAGGACACTTGCAAAACAGAGTTGACCCAGCGATCCAATGCCAGCTTCCAGCTGTGTTTCCAGGTTCTCTTTGTTTTCCAGGGTTGGATGCACCTTGTGTTCCATGAAGAAGAATTGTGGGAAAAGAAGTTTATACTCCCTTCTTATGGCCTGCAGGTGTGTTGGCTAGGTTGTATAATTGTAGCACTGTGGTGGTAGGAAATTATTTTCCTTTATGTCATATGCTATAATAAGTTAGGCTTAAGATCATACTATTTTAAGAATCTGCAAGTATTTTAGGTAAAGAATGTTCTACAGACAACCTTAATTTAGGGAACAAACATATGTAAAAATTTCCCAAGCTATGTCTTTGCCTATAGGGGCTACTTCTTGGGATTGGAAAAAAAACAAACCAGCAAATCACTGAGCCACTTGAAGTAGTTTCGTTCTGTAGTACATAGCAGCCAGTGTTCAAAACGCTATGTCCCTTCTGTGTCCTAGAACATGAAAAACTCCTCTGAGAAGATAAGGGCAGTTTGATGGGAAATCAGCACATGTTCTGCTGTCTCCTTTGCATTGCTATCTGCAAGGCCTGCATAATCGTCTCAGAGTTGTTC